AGAAGTTTAAATCTTAAATAAGTTATGGTTACTAAACTCGTATTCTTTAGCATGAAGGAAATAAGTATTTAGCATTCTATGATCGTAAACTCTCATTACCGGTAACAATCCAGTGTCTATCAACCTTTAAACATTGTTCATAAGAACGATACGTTTTATTTTTCTAACCTTCGATCAACGTCGTCTTGTAATCTCATGATTAACTAATCAGTTGTTTCATGCTTTAAATCACAAAATCTTTTTTCTTTTTTTTTTTCTTTTCTTTCTTTCTTTCTTTCTTTCTTTCTTTCTTTCTTCTTATGAACATTTTTTACAACATTGGTTAAGATAAAAATCAGTCTAACACATATACACACATAGTATATACATAAAATATTTCGCTATGTTTATTTATGACTTTTTCGTTGAACGAATACCTGTTAAATTCTTGTTTTGAAAGTAGAATTTCGAAGAATTCACAAAAAAAAAAGAAATTAATAAAATTATAAATGATCATGAAAAATTCGAAAAATCAAGTTTTACTAGTTAGACGTGTTTCAGTTATGTTCTTTGTTTATTTTTTTCTTTTTTTCTGTCTGGACAAATATTTCACGATTAAAATTTATATATTAACATTTGTATGTAAATGATTATATACGGAATGTTATAATAATATCGAATGTATTTTTGAACATGAACGATTACATTTTTTTTTTTTTTTTTTTTTCATAACGTTGACGTATGTCAAATATTTTCACGCATTTTTATATTGTTTATCAATAATTTCGTGACGTTCTTGAACGATAATCATTCTCAACGCTACTAAAAAACGATACAAATTTAATATTCATTTAAAATACCATACAAATAAAATCACAAATAAATCGTACAAAAAAAAAAAAAAAGAGAAAAAACAAACAAACTATCCAATTCATTTTTCTTCTTTCGGGTTGTTGTACGATTTGAGATAAATGAAAATTAACTTTGACAATTTTTTTTCTGTTCTTTTTTCTTTTTACGATTTCAAGTGTGCATTAAATAAATAAATAAAAAAAAAAGAAGAAAAAGGAACAAGAATGATCTTAAAAATGTGAAGAAATTCGTTGAAGGAAGAGAGTACTTAACACTCAACTCATCGTCATCCTTACGTTAGCAAGGTCCACCGGTATAAAAGTGTGCGAGTGTGTACACGCGCGAGCACAAGTTATGCAATTACATTTGTAATGGGGGCCAACGTTGATCGTCGACCGACGACGGTGCTAGTAATTCGTAGTAATTACAGTATTCGCGTCTCGTAATTCACCGTGATCCTTCGGTTATGCGCGTGACATGATCGAAAGATTTTTCTTTATTTTTATTTTCTTATTTTTTTTTCAAGATTTTATTGCAACAGAAATGAAGCGTACATTCGTACATGTACGAATAAACACACACACAACATATATGTATATATATTTTTGTTAATTTTATTTTTTGTTGAATCAAATAGAAAAGAATATATATATGTCTATATTTACATGTATTGTAAAACCTAAATCTAAATATATATATAGATTCAAATTCATGTAAATATTGATATATAATAAATTTAGGTTTGAAATTTTAAGTAGATATTTATATATATATATATATATATATATATATATA